CGTATTCACAGTAACACCCGGTACACTGTTGGGTTCGCAACAGTTTGTCAGCGAATTAACATTATAACAACGACAACAGACGTTACTTTTACTAAATACGCTGTACCGTAAGTTTCGGACATTACGCAGGTATTTATTGCATTGATGTTGACTTGGGTTCTTGTTATTCCCAGTGTGTGCAGTACGCGACGGATCTTCCCATAGATCGTTGCATTAAAATCGCTACTGCGCATACAAGAAAAAGCAATAAACCGGAAGAGGGGCATTCTCGTGGAACGCAGCAGGTGCGAGCAAGGTTATTGTTCCCGGAGTCTTTCGATTGTTCTGCGACAACTAACCAAGCTGAGAACGCTGGTGGCAGAAAAGAGGACGGTCCTCTTCTCGGCAAAGCGCAGGAGGCTCAGAATGGGAGTGGGTCGCAAGGGAGACCCTATCGCGATACGCGAGGACGCGTCCCTATAGATTTCGTGTGCGGTATTAAAGCAGTATGGTAATCCTTGCCACGGTTGTCTCTTTCAAGGACTTGTGGTCTAATTTCAGTGTTGCAACCATTTGAAGACTTTATCAATGTACTTGTATAGATATTTGTTCATTTCGGAGTTCACTGGAATAACTTGTCTTAAGCATGGCATTGTTTTATTTTCTCATCAACCAACCATATAATTACCGGTGATGTAGTGGAGTTGGAATTTGACGAGAGGAAAGGAAAGAGTGCGAAGCAAGGAGGCCGAAACGGGGCGCTCCCGGGCTTTCGGCAGCAAACAGCCACCGCAGGCAGACTCTGTTCAACGCTAGCCCGACCCGACCCGGGGCCGGCCGGGCTGAACCCAGCGGGGGGACTCACTGCTGCGATCCATGTTACCCCCACCCCCTCCGGCACATTCGCGCTAGGGGGGGGGGGAGGCGCCCCGCAGCGACGTGTCCTATGCCGCGCCGCCGGAGAGAGTTGATGTACGTCACGTCAACACAGTCTTTCAATTTTGGCCGAGGGAGAGATAGGAAGTGAAGGAAAACCTACGCGTGCGTGTGTGCGTGCGCGCGAGCCTCACTCCACAGAGGAAATGAGGAGGTTTGTCTAAGATTGGACGGAATCTGACGAATTTTCTATAAAGGCTGACGCACGACTGATGGAGGATGCCCAAATACCGCATGAGGCACAGTCTCAGTGAAGGAAAGACATCGATGTTCGTTTTTGGTTGCTATGTGCTACAGCTTTGGGGGGGGGGGAGGGGGTAAGCCTTTTTCCAGATTCGCTCCCTCACCTCTCCCATACCACCCATCGTTCGTCATCCCCACTACCTAACCTCTCCTCCCTCTCCTGTCCCACGCATATGTGAAGGTCGTCCTCAAGTGGCTCATCAAATATCCTTCCTCCGTTTCGCACCGAAGCGCGTTGGGGAGGAGTCGTGGGGCCTAATCCTGTCCCGGCTCGGCGCGGCTCTGCCCTGCCAGCCTCAGTGGTCGTCCGCCCTCAACGCCCTTATCCACTTCCCAATTTTCCTTTTGCCTCCCCCAATTTTCCTCCTCCTTCAACCCCTTTCTGGCTCCCATGCTTGCCACGCCTCCACCACCTCTCTCTTCGCTCTGCGCGCATCTGTGAGTGCGACTGTGAGTGAGGGGAGCGTTCAGGCGTGAGTGTAGTAGAGAAGGGGACTCTGAGAGGGCGAGAAAGAGAGAGAGAGACAGAGGGGTAGGGGAAGTACGGAGGGGGAACCTCACGGCCTAAACGAGGGACCTACGTCACTGATTGTGCGTTGAAAAAGTTATTTCCGAGTAAATGGAAAGGAACAAGGAGTCCGGGAGTGGAGGGCTCGGAGAGCGGGTAGAAGGGAAGGGTGTCGGGCAAAGGCGAGGCTGCCTCTGGTTCTTGCAGAAGGGTAGTCGGGCTCCGTTACCAAAAGACGGATACAAAAAGTTGCCACGAGGCACGTCGGAATGCAGGTCGTTAGCATTGCCCGCGACGCGGCCCGGGCCGATCAATGTCGTCCCCGCGTCGCGTTAAACGACGGCGAAAGTTCTTGCTTGCGAACAACTAACTGGGCACAAAAGAGGAGTGTGCAAATTAAATTGCCGACATAGCCGCGCTTGTAAGGGGAGAGCCCCCAGTTAACGGGGATGGTTTTCAGCCTCGACCTCCAGCCCGACAGCGAGCGCTAGGCCAGCATCCTGCTGCTCCACTCCATTCAGACCCTTTTTACAGAGAGGGCCACACCGAGGAGACTGATTTGCATTTATTCTGTTCGCCCGCTGATTGGTACCGTGTAATCCAGTGCCCTATTCTCTACCCCT